CTTCCTTCCTTCCTTCCTTCCTTTCCCGGGAAGGGAGGCCCAGGCGGGAAATTCAAAATGCGGGCGGCTTCCTTGACAGGGGTGGGAAAGAGGAGAAAGAAAAAGAGCAGTAGCAATGCCGTAGGGTTGAGAACAGACTTTCAAGGGTGCCGGTTTTCTTCCTCATTTTAAAATAAGAATGAGTGGGAAGCTGGGCAGACTGATCTGGTAGGCTTTTTTGACTCAGTATCCTCCAGAGCAGTGTTTTTCCAACTTGGTTACTTTAAGATGGGTGGACTTGAACTCCCAGAATTCCAGCCATCTTAAAGTTGTCAGGCTGGAAAAACACTGCTCTAGAGGTGGTGGTCTATGGTTCCCATAAAGCAGGGATCCCCCAAGTCTTCAGCTCATCAACCCCTTCATGAAGTTTCGGATTGTTCATCAATCCCCCAACATTTATTATATGAGAATAATTTAATAAGTACGACTTTAACTAATAGTACCACAACTGCTAATAAATAATATTGACCTCTTGGATAGTCACATCGACTCTTGGGGGTTGATATCGACCACTTCGGGGACCCTTGCTGTAGGGGATTGGAGTTGAGGGCCTACCTACCTGGGAGACCACCAGGTTAACCAAAACTGGTGGAGACTGATGAGGCAGTCCCACTTGGATCCAGTGGGTTTACTTCCACCCAAACCCTAGTGTGGGGTCACAGCCTCCCAGATCAAGCAAGAATCTTGCTTGATTGTTGAGCTCTTCCTGGTGTAATGCTCTCATCTCTGCTTGATTGTTAGATTAATTGTGGCCATTTCACGAGTTGTGGGACTTGCCCTTGAGTGTTGCATATGGACATAAAGGCATTGTGATCGGTATGGGCCAAGAGAATGTCTATGGCCTTAAAATCCCACCCCCCTTCCTAAGTTTCTCGGATGTGCTGCCATTACATTACACTGAAGCAGCCCTCCATACTCTCTCTAAGGGAGGATCTTTCCTCTGCGAAGGCATGGGGTAAGGGGGGCTCGGGAGTCCCACAGAAACACCATAACCCACTTCCACATATTAGCTAACTACCACAAAAGACAGTGATAGCCATTGCTGGAGCCATGTATAAGTTGCAGTAGTTGACAGTTGTGGGGAAGGGAAGAAAGACACAGAGTGTTAGTACTGCCATAGGACTGAGGACAGATTTTCTGTTTTCAGCAGAACAAATCATGTGTATTTTTCACGTGGCTGTAGCTAAGTAGTGAAACATCTGCGTTCCCTACAAAATTTCCATATAGAAGTGTCTCTGCGTAAAAGGAACCTAATGTAACGTATGACTTTTGTATTGGGAATTGGGTCCAATTCCTTACTCTTATCCAGGTCCCAATCTTGATTCAGCCATTTTCTTTCTCTGAGCTTAACCTATCTAAGAGGATAGGCTGGGGATAAAATGGACAACGTGAAGAATGATGGGTTCTTCACTCCTTGAAGGTGGGTGATGTAATCATGTTAAGGATTGTAGAATGGAAAGGAGTTGTCCATCCAGAAGGACAGTCCTTGGATTAGCTAGACCGGCCATCTCTTTAACAAGAAAAGACAAGGGGGATGGGGACATTTGCCTGAATGTGGTTCTGGTCCTTCTCAAGAACATGAACCACACACCGTAAAATTATAGCCACATTTATCAGCCAAAGGTTGCAATGTGGTGTCCCTTAAGAAAAAGTTATGCTACTATCAGTTGATAGCAAAGATGACATGAGAACCTGGAGGGAAATAATTTAAGTAGTTTGGCCTCCCAACCATAGTTTGGTACGTTTGCAATCAACTCATTTGCAGATAGAGAATATCTTTGTTTCTTTCCTAGCAGAATTCCTGTGTCTTCAACAGCTGTGTGACAGGTGGAATCAAGCTGAGAATAAGAATTCTTTGTCCAGGGCCCATTACTATCTTGATTCCGGTGTGGAATGGAATTGAATTTTTACAAGGTTATTTGTGAACTAGACACTGGTATAAGTGAGTTGTGTGTACAACTTTGGGACCGTCCTGCTCAGATCAAAAGTGGCATAAAGTATACCAAGCCAGATTCCTGCTTGACCAAAATTGATGTTTGTTCCTCTAAATCAGTTATTAATCATACTTCTGTTCATGAATTTGGGGGGTGAGTTAACCGTAAGCATTTCTGAATCATGTTCTGATCTTTCTTTTGCTTTATTTATTATTTTAAGAGTCCATGAATTTTCCAAGCGTAGCCAATCTCTTGAGAGGACTGAGCAGGTGGCCCTAAGGCAGCGGCACGCTGGGTTTGTGAGGGTGCGCGCGCGTGTGTAAGTAACAATACTTTTCTGTTTTCGAGGATTCTTTGCAAATAGTATCAGGAGATGTGAAACAAAGGAAGGCTTTGACTACTAAAATTGCTTCTATCACTGAGCAATTTCAGTTTTAAGACAGGAGGGGATATGGCCCGATTTGTTTCTGTTTGATGTGCAGAGTGCACGCTCTTAAGAATTCTGCTCGCTCTTAGTTGTCACTGGAAAAGAGAAAGACCATTTATGCCCATTTAGTGGCAGACAGATTGAGTCAATTGAGCATCTGAGCTTGCAAGCTGCACTGGTTGCCAGTGTGCTTCTGGGTGCGATTCAAGGTACTGGTTAGCACCAATAAAGCCCTACACAGGATGGGGCCTGGTTATCCGAGGGACTGCCTATCTCCTGTGGGATCCGCCTGGCCAGTGTGAGCCAACAGGGTGGGCGCATTCTGGGTCCTTTCAATTAAATGGTGTCACTCTGTCGTGCCTGCCCTCTGCAATGAGGTTCCCCCCTGAGATCCGGATGGCTCCCACCCTCATGGCGTTCTGGAAAGCCCTTCAGCCCTTTGAGGTATTTCAGACGAGAAGCCCAAACCATGAGTACTATCTGCAAGACTCTGTCACTGTAACCTTACAAGAAAGGTAGTGACAGTGTAATGGAAGGCTTGAGCGAGGAAGATACTGGAATGGAGGATCAAGGTTATCAGGAGGGAGGGGGGCATTCCAGCCCAAGAACAACGATGAGACAGTCCAGCCCAATATAGTTCCTTTCTTAGC